TGTGTGTGTGTGTGTGTGTGTGTGTATAATGGCGTATTGATCGGTAATAAAAAAGAATGAAATCTTTGCCATTTGCAACTACGTGGATGGAACTGGAGGGTATTATGCTAAGTGAAATTAGTCAGAGAAAGACAAATATAATATGACTCACTCAAATGAGGACTTTAAGACACAGATGAACATAAGGGAAGGGAAGGAAAAATAATATAAAAACAAGGAGGGGGACAAAACATGAGACTCTTAAATATGGAGAACAAACAGAGGGTTACTGGAGGGGTTGTGGGAGGGGGGATGAGCTAAATAGGTAAGGGGCATTAAGGAATCTACTCCTGAAATCATTGCTGCACTATATGCTAACTAATTTGGATGTAAATTTTAAAAAATAAAATTTAAGTAAATAAATAGGAAAAAAAAAGAATGGGTCAACCAGACAATTAAAGAAGAAATTAAAAAATACATGGAAGCAAATGAAAATGAAAACACAACAGTCCAAACCTTCTGAGATGCAGCAAAGGCAGTCATTAAGAGGAAAATACACTGCAATTTGGCCTATCTCAAGAAACAAGAAAATTCCAAATACAAACACCTAATCGCTCACCTAAAGGAACTAGAAGCAGAAGAGCAAAGAAACCCCAAAGCCAGTAGAAGAAGAGAAATAATAAAGATTAGAGCAGAAATAAACAATACAGAATCCAAAAAAAAAGAGAACAGATAAATGAATCTAAGAGTTGGTTTTTTGAAAAAATAAACCAAATTGATAAACCCCTAGCCAGACTTCTTAAAAAGAGAGAAGACCCAAATAGATAAAATCATGAATGAAAAAGGACAGATCACAACCAACACCACAGAAATACATACAACTATTAGAGAATACTATTAAAAATTATATGCCAACAAATTGGACAACCTGGAAAAAATGGACAAATTTCTAGACACCCCCACACTACCAAAATTCAAACATGAAGAAACAGAAAATTTGAACAGACCCAAATCAGCAAAGAAATTGAATCAGTTATCAAAAATCTCCCAACAGGGGTGCCTGGGTGGCTCAGTTGGTTAAGCATCTGACTTCAGACTAGGTCATGATCTCGTTGTTCCCAAGTTTGAGCCCCACGTTGGGCTCTGTGCTGACAGCTCAGAGCCTAGAGCCTGTTTCAGATTCTGTGTGTGTGTGTGTGTGTGTGTGTGTGTGTGTGTGTCTCTCTCTTTCTGCCCCTCTCCCACTTGTGCGCGCTTCCCTCTCTCAAAACCAAATAAAGCATTTAAAAAAAAAAAAAATCTCCCAACAAATAAGAGTCCTGGACCAGATGGCTTTCCTGGGGAATGCTACCAGACATTTAAAGCAGAGTTAATGCCTATCCTTCTCAAGCTGTTCCAAAAAATAGAAATGAAAGGAAAACTTCTGGACTCATTCTACGAAGCCAGCATTACTTTGATTCCCGAACCAGAGAGAGACCCCACAGAAAAGGAGAATTACAGGCCAATATCCCTGATGAACATGGATGTAAAAATTCTCAACAAGACACTAGCAAATCGAATTCAATAGTCTAGTAAAAGAATTATTTGCCATGATCAAGTGGAATTCATTTCTGGGCTGCAGGGCTAGTTCAATATTTGCAAATCAGCATGATACATCACATTAATAGAAGAAAGGATAAGAACCACATGATCTCAATAGATGCAGAAAAAACATTTGACAAAATACAGCATCCTTTCATAACAAAAACTCGCAAGAAAGTCGGGATAAAAGTAACATACATTAACATCATAAAAGCCATATATGAAAAGTCCACAGCTAGTATCATCCTCAAGGGGGAAAAACTGAGAGCTTTCCCCCTGAGATCAGGAACATGACAGGGATGTCCACTCTCACCGCTGTTATTAACATAGTGTTGGAAGTCCTAGCCTTAGCAATCAGACAACAAAATGAAATAAAAGGCATCTGAATTGGCAAAGAAGTCAAACTTTCACTTTTCACAGATGACATGATACTCTACATGGAAAATCCAAAAGACTCCATCAAAAAGCTGCTAGAATTGATACATGAATTCAGCAAAGTCACAGGATACAGAATCAATGTACAGAAATCAGTTGCATTTCTATACACCAATAATGAAGTAACAGAAAGAGAAATCAAGAAGTTGATCCCATTTACAATTGCACCAAGAACCATAAAACACTTGGGAATAAATCTAACCAAAGATGTAAAAGATCTGTATGTTAAAAACTATATAAAACTTACGAACGAAATTCGAGAAGACACAAAGAAATGGAAAAACATTCCATGCTCACGAATTAGAAGAACAAATACTGTTAAAATGTCAATACTACCCAAAGCAATCTACACATTCAATGCAATCCTAATCAAAATTACACTGGTACTTCTTCTCAGAACTAGAACAAATAATCCTAAAATTTGTATGGAACCACAAAAGACCCTGAATGGCCAAAGTAACGTGGAAAAAGAAAACCAAAGCAGGAAGCATCACAATCCCAGACTTTAGCCTCTAGCACACAAAGCTGTAATCATCAAGACAGTATGGGTTTGGCACAAAAAGAGATACATAGACCAATGGAATAGAGAACCCAGAAGTGGACCCACAAATGTATGGCCAACTAATCTTTGACAAAGCAGGGAAGAGTATCCAATGGAAAAAAGACCGTCTCCAGCAAACAGTGGTGGAAGAACCAGAGAGCAACATGCAGAAGAATGAAACTGCACCATGTTCTTACACTATGCACAAAAATAAACTCAAAATGAATGAAAGACCTAAATGTGAGACAGGAAACCATCAAACCCTACAGGAGAAAACAGGCAACAACCTCTTTGACCTCAGCCGCAGCAAATTCTTACTCGACATGTCTCTGAAGGCAAGGGAAATAAAAGCAAAAATGAACTACTGGGACCTCATCAAGATAAAAATCTTCTGCACTGCAAAGGAAATAATCAACAAAACTAAAAGGCAACTGACGGAATGGGAAAAGTTATTTGCAAATGACTTATCAGATATCAGATAAAGGGTTAGTATCCAAAACCTATAAAGAACTTACAAAACTTAACACCCAAAAAACAAATAATCCAGTGAAGAAACAGGCAGAAGTCATGAATGGGTATTTTCCAAAGAAGACACTCAGATGGACAACAGACACATGAAAAGATGCTCAATGTCACTCATCATCAGGGAAATACATATCAAAACCACACTGAGATACCGCCTCACACTGGTCAGAGTGACTAAAATTAACAACTCCATCAACAACAGATGTTGGCAAGGATGTGGAGAAATGGGAACCCTCTTGCACTGTTGGTGGGAATGCAAAGTGGTACAGCCACTCTGGAAAACAGTGTGGAGGTTCCTCAAAAAATTAAAAATAGATCTACCCTATGACCCAGCAATACCACTGCTAGGAATTTAGCCAAGGGATACAGGAGTGCTGATTCATAGGGGCACATATACCCAAATGTTTATAGCAGCGTTTTGAACAATAGCCAAATTACAGAAAGAACCCACATGTCCATTAACTGATGAATGGATAAAGAAGATGGACTACTACTTGGCAATGAGAAAGAATTAAATCTTTCCATTTGCAACAACATGAATGGAACTAGAGGGTATTATGCTAAGTGAAATAAGTCAGTCAAAGAAAGACAGGTATCATATATTTTCACTCTTATGTAGAATTTGAGAAACTTAACGGAGGACTGTGGGGAAGGGGAAAAAATAAGTTTCAAACAGAGAGGAAGGCAAACTATAAGAGACCCTTAAATACAGAGAACAAACTGGGGGTTGCTGGGGGGAGGGGGGGAGAGGGAAAAATAAGTGAAGAAAACTGAGGAGGGCACTTGTTGGGATGAGCACCGGGTGTTGTATGTAAGAAATGAATCATGGGAATCTACTCCTGAAGCCAAGAGTATACTGTATACACCGTATGTTAGCTAACTTGACAATAAATTATGAAGAAATAAATTTTTTTGATTTTAAAAAGAAAAGAAAGTGAAACAGGGAAACTAGTTTCCTTGTTTAAAAATTTTTTTTAATGTTTATTTATTTCTGGGGGGGAGGGGCAGAGAGAAGGGCGGGGGACAGAGGATCTGAAATGAGTTCTATGCCAACAGCACAGAGCCTGATGTGGGGTTCGAACTCATGAACTGTGAGATCATGACCTGAACTGAAGTAGGACACTTAACCAATTGAGCCACTCGGGTGCCCCAAAAGGGGCCTGCCCAAGTTTCCTAGTTTTTAAAGATTATACAAGATTATACAATATTGTTATTATTATATATTAATACATAATTATATGTTAATACATAATTATAATAATATTATAATTATTATATTATATATTATTATATAACAATTATCACTATTAAATATATACAAAATTATTACAAAAATTATAAATAAGCACTGCTGAACTCTGGTACCTTTCTATCTTTCTATAATCTCTCACCTACTAATATTTTTGCCAAACTCTCTACTATGGTACTCTTTCCAGGTTTGTTTACCCCAGAAAGTGTTCGGTGCCTTAAATTTACATTTCACCTTTTTGTTTACTCTTGACCAAAACTCCTATTCTTTTAGTAAGTTGTTAGATTTTACCCTTGATCAATTCAGAAAGACTTTAAGTCTCCAAAGCTGCATGTAAATTTTCACTACCCCTCTTGAAGTACATTCATCAAAGGAAGTTTCCACATTTTCATTAGATTTTCAAAGGAGTTTGTGACCCCCACAAAAATAACAGTTAAGAATTCCTTTAGAAGGAAATGCAGATTAAATGGATTTACCTTGAAGCTAGCCCTAACTTCTCTGGAAGTATTTGCATTTTAAAAAACTGTTTAGATGAATACAATAAGGTAGCCTGGAGACTGCGCAACTAATCCCTTTTCATGGTATAGGATTTGCAAAGTTGAACCTGCAAATTCGTACCTTTAACACTTGCTACTGACACATTTTTAAAAGGCAACCAGTACATTTCTGAACAACCTTGGAGTTACATACCAAAATCCGCTATCTTGGCATTCATGTCAGCATCCAACAGCACATTCTCTGGTTTCAGGTCTCGATGAACTACCATATGCCTATGACAGTAATCCACAGCTGACAGAATCTGCTGAAAGAGGCGCCTTGCTTCCACCTCTTCAACCTAGCAAGTATAACAGAAGCTGCACTAAGAATATTTAGGACATCTTCATAGCAAGAGTTTCAGTTTTATAACCAACCCAAACGGAACTGTGTAAGCTAATTAGAACCGGGTCAGAATTTTCAACAAATCAGATAAACAAACCAAAAACTTGCATTAAAGGTCAACATGTTAATCAACAAGGTTCTTCTGTGCTGCTAGGAAGATTTGATTTTCAATTAATATCACTAAATGTGCACAATGTTTTAGGCAATCAACAAACATAATGTAAAACAGAACTTCTATGAAAGTGCTCCGAAAAGAAAATAATTGAAGCTTCAACATGTTATACAACAGATTTTTCATTCTGAAAACACAAATATCATGTTGGCAACTAAGTGGAACATGTTCCCTAAAATCAGTAATTCAAAAGGTGTTTTTTAAGATTTTATTTTTAAGTAATCTCTACATCCAATGTGGAGCTTGAACGTACAACCCCAAGATCAAAAGTCACATGCTGCACTCACTGAGCCAGGAAGGAGCCCCTTGAAATGTATATTTTTAAGAAAGAAAATATGTCTACTATTCTGTATCTTTAGCTGGGCTTTATTACAGAAGCAACCCTGACTTTGTAGGTATCTTTGTAGTTTACTATTTCCTACTATCCTCTTTCTTAGCTTAGGGGTTTATCGTACTAGATAATAAGTTACTCACCCGTCCATGTTTACAGATGTAGTCAAATAATTCACCGCCAGACACATATTCCATTACCATAAAAAAATCTGTTGGAGTGCTGATCACCTGGTATCTTTTTTGTAAATAAAAAGAATCATAAAAAAATGTTAGTTTAATTTAAAAAATCAAGCTAGTATATTATTGCTACAATTTTATATTCCAGTGCTTTACAATATTTTAAGATGGCAACAAATTATCAAAACAATCACAGAGCTATAAACATAGCTTTACAAAAGTCTCTCCTTTCTGAGGCTTAAGGACTTTTCTTCAGATCCTTCCTTTCGTGTTTACAAATTCTTTGAAATCCGTCATTCTTGAAAAAGTAAGCATTAATTTCTCCATTTAAACAAATTTTTTTATAGTCTGGAGATCAAGTATCATATTGAAACATAAATTAAAAATACTCTTGTTAAGGTTAAATGATACAAGAGATTTAATCAGCAAAATGCAGAAAGTGGACAAATAACCATTTCTTCAACAAATAAAATGTGAGAAAAGAAAAAGGGAGGGGGGAGCTATAGGTTAAAAGTAAATCAAGGGGCGCCTGAGCGGCTCAGTCAGTTAAGCATCTGACTCCTGATTTCGGCTCAGGTCATGATCTATCATGGTTCATGAGATTGAGCCCCACACTGGGCTCCGCACTTAGAGAGCGGAGGCTGTTTGGAATTCTCTTTCTCTCTTTCTGCCCACCCTGCCCTGATCTCTCTCCCTCCGTCTCTCTCTCTCTCTCAAAATAAAATAAACTTTAAAAAAAAATTTATGAAACAAAGTCTGAATACTGACTGGGTGGTTGATAATATTGTTAATCACTTTAATTTTTTAGGTGTTATAATGATTTATGCTTGTGTTTTTTAAAAAGTCTATATTCCAGAGCAGATAGTGAAAAGTTTAGAGATTAAAAACATAATATTTTGGGATTTACTTCAAAATAATTTGGGGTGGGAGAAGTGGAAAGAAGCAGATAAAACAGTACACTGGCAATCACTGAAGCCAAATGATGGATACATGAGGCTTTATCACTTTACTTTTGTATACATCAAAAACGTTCCATAGTAAAAAATTAAACAGACACATATATGAATGCGTGTTTATATATATATTTCTTAAATTGACTTCTCGGCAAAGCTGGGAACATTAAAAAAATAAGAATCTTAGCTCTACTTGAAAAAAATTTCATAAAAGACTTCTCCCCATATACACAATTTTAACAAAGTTTTGAAAACAAGTTAAATACAATTATTAAAGTTTTAACTTTGTTTATAAAGGATTATCTATAATCTGATTGTGAGCAATATGTAATTTCTACTGAGTTACTATTTAGGGCCACTAAGTATAGCTGTGTAGTTTTTGCATGGCTTCCAGGCACCCAAAGAAGACACAAGTAGGAGTTGAAAAGTAGCCCAGATGCTACCCTGTTCAATGTGTCAGAAGCAGGAGACCCCTTCGGTAAATTCGTCCACCCAGATAGAGTACTTTTTACTAATGTGCATGAAAGCAAGTATGTGCTACATGGTGGTTCTGGTTATTATTCCCCATTAAAAAGGAAAGGAAAGGGGCGCCTGGGTGGCGCAGTCTTAAGATTAAGCATCCGACTTCAGCCAGGTCACGATCTCGCGGTCCGTGAGTTCGAGCCCCGCGTCGGGCTCTGGGCTGACGGCTCAGAGCCTGGAGCCTGTTTCCGATTCTGTGTCTCCCTCTCTCTCTGTCCCTCCCCCGTTCATGCTCTGTCTCTCTCTGTCCCAAAAATAAATAAACGTTGAAAAAAAAAAATTAAAAAAAAAAAAAAAAGGAAAGGAAAATGGCCCGGTAGTTGGTCATGTAACCACATACTATGTATTTTAAGAAAAGATACATCATGTGTAAATTAAACATTTGAAAAAAGTAAAATATTAAAGCTACAGTATAAAAATGATTATAGATCTTCAAAAAAATATTCCTAATAGCAATCTTTAGTCTTTTGGATGAAAAATGACACAGTAACCACTTTATATAAAATAAACTAACACCACTGAAGAATAAAGTTAAGATTACTTCAAATGAACTATGAAAAGAGAATTTTACCTGAGAACTCCAGAAGAAATGGTTCTGTAAGAGCAATCTTACCAGGCACCAAACTCTAATTGAATAAAATGAATAGTGTGAAGCAGAGCACCTAGTCAACTCACTGCCGGCTAATCTGGTTTATTAACAGAATTCTCTATCACTTTTCTGCTCTGTTACATCCTTGGGGCATAACAGAAAAAAAAGTGATGAAATTCTAATAAACTTAGCTGCTGATTCTTCCACGTATATCACAGGTCTTCAGTGGATACTGTTGGATTGAACTATTTCATGAAACCTCTAACTCCAAAGTAGCCACGGTGCACATTAAAGGCCAATCTAGAGCGATGAAAACCACAGCCAACATTACTAATAAGCACTTATACCGTGTGCCAGACACTGAGCTATTCAATTGTGACATTTACTATTTGCTGCAAATCTACATGTATTGCACTTGGTGAGATCAACGGCTCCTGTCTCTAGTTGTGGAGCCTACACTCACTGAGGAAGACAGACATCAGACAAGTACTCTTTTCAAAACATGAATCTGTTCTTCAGTAGCCTCCTAATTAAAATCCTCAGGGAGTTCCCAGTGCTCTTAGGTGCTGAGTGAATCAGGCCCCCGCCTGTGTCTACACTGTCTCATCTTTGATTCCTACCACTAGAGGGCACTATTTCTTCCATACGTTCATTCGTGCTGCACTTGCTCCTGCCTCAGCATCTGTCTAAGCAGTGCCTACTAACGTGAGTCCTGTACCATGACCTGTACCCGGACCTGTAACTGGCCACCAGTCAGCCTTTATATCTCCGCTTAAGCAGAGAAGGTCACTCCGTAAGCCCAGGTCACCCTTTCTGCTCTCACAGAGCACTCCCTTCCCTTCAGGGCTTGTACCTCAGCTAGTGATCTATACAGTGATTGAGTGTGCACCTAGTGAAGTATCTGTAACAAAGCAGTCATTTAAATAAGTAAATAAATAAATTAGCACTTTTATAATAATAATTGTGACCAGCTTGGAGCCAAAACCAGAATAATTAGGGCAACATTACAACAAAAATTCAATGAATAAAATTTCAGTTAACTAGAATGAAGTCAAGACAAGAAGAAACATGATTTTTAAAAGAGAAATCCTAAGAAAACAGTTTCTTTTTTTTCCTTAATTTTTTTTAACGTTTATTTATTTTTGAGACAGAGACAGAGCATGAACAGGGGAGGGGTAGAGAGAGAGGGAGACACAGAATCTGAAAGGGGCTCCAGGCTCTGAGCTGTCAGCACAGAGCCTGACGCGGGGCTTGAACTCACGGACCGTGAGATCATGACCTGAGCCGAAGTCGGACGCTTGACTGAGCCACCCAGGTGCCCCTAAGCAAACAGTTTCATAGTGGGACTTAGGGAAAAAGGCAAATTCCAGGATTATGTTCGTAAACCTAGCCAGAGTAAGCTAAATTTTTGTGCCTTCCAAAATAATACCACATTGAAGCATTATAAGAAATTCAATCATGAAACTCATTCATATCATCATTTTCTTAATACAACAGAAAAGTAAACTAACATGCTTTAGAAACATTTTTCAGAAAAAGTATAATTAGGCAAAAAAATTCCAGTATCCCCCAAAACCTCAAGCATTCTCCAGCTGACCAAGTTATATGCATTTTTAAGCACTATCCATTTAAATAGCATACAGAACTCAGGAAAAATCTGTCTAAAGTTAGACAAAAATCAATATTCATGAGTAAACCTCCTTGATGGTTACATCCATAGAGATTTAAAATTATTTATATAGCTGCATATATAGCATATTTTTCTTTATTTAGAAGTGAGTTATTGGGGCGCCTGGGTGGCGCAGTCAGTTAAGCGTCCGACTTCAGCCAGGTCACGATCTCGCGGTCCATGAGTTCGAGCCCCGCGTCAGGCTCTGGGCTGATGGCTCAGAGCCTGGAGCCTGTTTCCGATTCTGTGTCTCCCTCTCTCTCTGCCCCTCCCCCGTTCATGCTCTGTCTCTCTCTGTCCCAAAAATAAATAAACGTTGAAAAAAAAATTAAAAAAAAATAGTAATTAAAAGTAGGCCATTCATGGACCAATAAATGAACTAAGAATAATGATTACTAATTTCTTTAATAACTCACTTCTTTTTAAAAAAATTTTTTTTTTCAACGTTTATTTATTTTTGCGACAGAGAGAGACAGAGCATGAACAGGGGAGGGGCAGAGAGAGAGGGAGACACAGAATCGGAAACAGGCTCCAGGCTCTGAGCCATCAGCCCAGAGCCTGACGCGGGGCTCGAACTCACGGACCGCGAGATCGTGACCTGGCTGAAGTTGGACGCTTAACCGACTGCGCCACCCAGGCGCCCCTAATTACTATTTTTAATATAAGCACCTACAAACCCATCACCCAAACAAAAACCTAGGACCTGGACAATACCTTCCAGCTAACTATACAATGCAGTCCTCTCTCTTCCCCCTCCTACTGCTTCTCCCCAAACAAGTTAGCCATCATCCTGAATCCCATTCCTGCTTCCCTTGCTTTCTCTTTTATGCATTTATGTGTGTGTGTGTGTGTGTGTGTCCCTTTATCTTCATATATATGTAAAATTCATACTGTTACGTATATTTTTATTTTAATTGCTCTCAGCTTTAAAAAAAGGGTATCAGGCTATATGTAGTATTTTGGGACCTGTTTTATTGATCCATCCACAATGCTGTGTTTGCTATACTTATTTGATGTGACCATTATATAATATTTCATTGTATTTATTGATCTACTCTCCTGTTAATGGAGAAGCTATTTATTCATCCAATCTACCACTGGAGAGTAAATTTTTTCCACAATTTTGCTACCATCAATTGCGCTGCTGTGAACATTCTTGTACATGGCAAGATTTTCTCTTTCATATACACCTATGAATGAAACTGCTGAGTCATAGTTTATGTGAATGTCCAATTATAGGAAATAATGCCAACTGTTTTCCAAAAACATCTTGGCAATACTAAAATGTTTAGAAAATCTGTGGATTTAGATATTCTCCAACCTTG